GGCCTGGTAGTCATTTATAAAAGTTGACACAGTCTCCTTTGTCGCAAGAGGAGCGTTGTGCATTTGTCTTCTTCCGTTGTTCTTAATATTGGTGTCATTTATTAATTCAACGACATGCATTGAAGTAAATGAAGGCGCATACGCAGTCCTGCCCACTGCGTTCTGCTGGATCTGTAGGGTAAAGCTGAGACCCTGTGAGTAGGTGGGTTTCCCTGTAACTGGAAGCTTGCTTGCTGACCGTCATTCTAACAAAAGGTCATTGCTAGTCTAGGGAGACACAGGAAATGCAGAAGGCAGGGCTGGGCTGGCCTAGAGGGCACCGGGAACTCACCCTTTTGGGCTTTCTACCTAATGAGGTTAAATGGGAGGTGGGGCATTCTGGCACAGGTCCATACAGAGCAGAGGTTGACATTGCCCCCTAAGTGGAGCTAATAATAAGTGGAGCTAATGAAATATTCCTGGGGGAAGGTAAATCTTGCCTCCTTCCCAAGGAGATTCCTGCTCCAATGATAATCTTGGAGCATCTTGCTTTAATTTTATTTAGGAAAGTAATCTTTTTATAATACATTAAGAACTCATGAGCTCCTTTTAAACTGTGGCATATACATATATATATATATATTTTTACTTCAGAGAGGAAGGGAGAGGGAGAGATAGAAACATCAATGATGAGAGAGAATCATTGATTGGCTGCTTCCTGCATGCCCTCTACTGGGGATCGTCCAGAAACCCAAGCAAGTGCCCTTGACTGGAATCAACAGGGGACCCTTCAGTCCATAGGTCGATGCTCTATCCACTGAGCCAAACTGGCTATGGCTAAACTGGGGTTTATATTTTTTTATCATGGGAACAAAAGTGTGAATCCTAAATACCTTCTGCAAATATACACAGAATTTGCATTTCAGTCAAAACTAAAAAAAAACAAAACACACACACACACACACACACAAGTAATTGCAATTCGTTTTCTCTGTCTATTGCTAATCCAGGTGACCTCTTTTACTAAGGTACATAATGATATTTTTATGTAAAGACATTATGAAGGCAAATATATTATAAAAACCTTCACAGGGCATTATGAAATTAAATTCATAACTATTATTAATTCAATGTTTGAAACTAAACCTCACTTCTTTCCATTAGACTAACCATGTCTCCTTGACTCTCACTTGACCAGTTTTTTCATACTAGGCTTACATCAAGGATATTTTAACTTTGTTTCTAATCATCAATACTTAGAATATCTACAAGAATACTCTTTAATTTCTAAAGGGGTAATCAGATTTGCTTCCTTTCGAGTTACCTACTCATATCATTAAACATTTGTATCTGAAAAACGGAAAGAAAATAAAATGTGCACATCTTATGATCCAACAATTCTACTCTTTGGCATATACTCAACAATTGTATTGGCTAATGCAGTAGTCACTTAGCCACATGTGGCTATTGAGCCCATGAAATGTGTCTGGACTGCATTGAAATCTGTCGGAAGTGTAAAATACACATATTTTGAAGATTTAATATAAAAAAATTTAAGTACCTAATTTAAATGTATTTTTAAATATTGATTATAGTGGAAACAGGAATATTTTTGGATATAATAAAGTTATTACAATTTTTAAAATAAAAAGTAAGAAGATGAATAAAACTTGTTATTAGCACAATAGTTGAAACTTTGGATATACATTTCTGTTAAAAAAAGAAACCGAAACCTGGCTGGTGTGGCTAAGCCATTGATTGTCAACTTATGTACCAGGTGGTCACTGGTTCCCGGTCAGGGCACATGCCCAGATTGCAGGCTCCATCCCTAGTGCAGTGGGTGCGGGAGGCAGCCAATCAATGTTAATGGTTCTCTTATCGATGTTTCTATCTCTCTCTCCCTCTCCTTTCCTCTCTCTCTAAAAGTCAATAAAAACAGATTAAAAACAAAAAAGAAACACAGGCCAAAATGCAGTCACTTTGCTAAGCTATGTCACCAAACCAAAGCTTAATAACTAATTTAATTGCAGTTTCAGCCTCAGTAGAATTTTGAACAAATCACTCTGGAATTTTCTGATGAAATAGTCAAGTACACCGCCTGATAAGACCCCTACCTTCCCAGAGGGAAGGTGGCTTTGCCTAAAATAATCCACTCTTTTAGCTTTTTTCTGCCTATAAAAACCTTCCGTTTTGTACAACTCATGGGGTTCCTCCTAGTTGCTGCCTAATTCAAGAAACTATATATATAAAAGCCTAAGCAATGGTTACAACTGGTCGACCGAAAGACCGGTAGACCGGTTGCTATGACGTGCACTGACCACCAAGGGGCAGACACTCAATGCAGGAGCTGCCCCCTGGTGGTCAGTGCACTCCCACAGCCAATCTCCCGCAGCCAGCCAACCTCCCTCGGTCCCTCCCCCCACCGGCTGGCCCTGATCGGCCCGATCGGCCCCAATCACCAGCCAGGCCAAAGAATCCCACCAGGGCACAAATTCATGCACTGGGCCTCTAATATATATATATATGCCTAATATGCTAATTATCCCTCTGACTATTCGACCAATTGCTATGATGTGCACTAAGCACCAGGGGGCAGACACTCCAACTAGTAGGTTAGCTTGCTGCTGGGGTCCAGCAGATCGGGACTGGGCAAGACAGGCTGGGCATGCCCTGGAGCCCTCCTGCAGTCCCTCCCTGGCCTCGATCATGCACCCGTGGGGTCCTTGGCCTGGCCTGTGCCCTCTCACAACCCGGGACCCCTCGGGGAATATCAAAGAACTGGTTTCAGCCTGATCCCCACAGACTAGGCCAAGGGACCTCACCAGTGCACCAATCTGTGCACCAGGCCTCTAGTTACTTAATAAAGCCAAAATTGCTCCACTGAATTCTGTTCTTTAACATTGCCAAAACAATGCTAATTCTGTTCCCTAACACAATTTGTACAATGTTGTGCTTCAGATATATTACAAGCATTGGTGGATTGATCTGCTCATCAAATTTTAATGTGTAATATTGTTTTACCTGGAAAAATAATTTCAAGATTCAAACAATGGATTTATAAATTAACTTTTAAAATATAGATTTTTGTCAGTTGGACACTGGGTGTATCCTATAAATGTCATTTAGTTACCACAATAACAAACCTATCATAAATCTATACAAGGAGTTCAAAGGGTATTTCTGGGTTTCTTAGGGGTGTCAGGGTCTACTCAGAAAACAGAAATCTCAGCAGCTATTTTTACAGAAAAACTTTAAGGAATTGCTTAAACAGGCAATGGAGGGTTGGAAAGGCAAGAGGAAACATTGCAGTAACCGAGAGATAGTAACTGCAGGAAGCAGCTGCCACTGAGAGATCTGGATAGAGAAGTACTCGGATTATCAGAAACTAAGAGATGGAAGAGGGCCTGGAGGGAGCTGGGACTCAGGCTTCCAAGGAAGGGACTGTACCACCCCCCCCCCTACCCCGGGGTATTTCTGAAGGTAAATGTTGAAGGTTGCTGGATCTGAGAAGGTAGATTAAAAACTAGAATTTGGAACCAACTGCTGCAGCCAGGGAAGAGAACCATTGCTGGGTGACGTGGCAGTTATGAAACCGAAACGTGCGGTTTGATTACGAGTTCGTTGTCTCACGAAATAGAAGAATGAAGTCGCAGAACAAACCGGTCAGTGGAACCAAAGTTTGTTGAGAGAAGGAAGTCCTGGCAAAGGTGCAGCTGGGGTTAGGAGTAAGCCAGTGCCCAGAGCTTCCTTTCCATGTTAGAGTCAGGCGTTCAAGTCTATTAGTCCATGTGCAGAGTCCCACATGGCCATAAGCCACGTGGGCGCAGGGGAGCATATCTCCTGCCATCAACCCAGGAATCTAGCACACAGGGGT